GCCTGCGGGGACGGCGCACAGCTGCGGGGGCCGGCCCCACCCGGGGCCCCCCGACTCCCGCCCTGGCGCTGGGCTCCACGGGGGCTACCTTTGAAGAAGAAGGCCTCGCCGCGGATCTGTGCCACCGCGTCAAAGTGGGCGCTGCACCTGTGAGGCACGTCCTTCCCGGGCCTGCGGACAGAGAGCCGTGGGCGTGCGCCCCCTCCTGCGCCCCCGACCACGCCTGCAGCTCTGGGACCCGCAGCAGTTGCATCAAGAGAGAAAAGCAGCCCGGCCAGCGGGGCTCAGTGGTTGAGCATCGACCTATGAACCAGGAGGTCACGGTTCATTGCCCTGACCGGGTTGTGGGCTCGATCCCCCGCGGGGGGCCTGCAGGAGGCAGCCGGTCAGTCACACGTACGGGGTGCTGGGCCGGTTGCCGGGGGGCTCCGGCAGGAGGGGAGGCTCCTCGGACTCGGCCGTGTCCGGCTGTGCCGTGGGGGACACAGACTCCCGCACGCCTGTGGAGACAGGGTGGCCGCATGGAACCCAGGGCGCCCGCCTCCCTCAAGCCCCAGCCCGCTTCCCGGAACCCGGGGTGGCCCCAAGGCCGCCGGGCAGACGGGCCTGCGCGTGCCCCGGAGTCAGCACCGGCTACAACGTGAGCCGGACAGGCCCGTGCACGGGGCGGGGACGCCCGTGGCTGCACTGCATTGTGGGTGTGTCCATGTCGGATTGTGCACTTTAAAGTGGTGACTGTGCCCGGCCGGCGAGGCTCAGGGGTTGAGCGACAACCTAGGACCCAGGAGGTCAGGGTTCGAGTCCCGGTCGGGGCACAGGTCCGGGTTGCGGGCTCCATCCCCAGTAGGGAGTGTGCAGGAGGCAGCTGATCGATGTTTCTCTCTCATCATTGATTTTCTATCTCTCTCTCCCTCTCCCTAAATTAAAAAAGAAAGTTTAACGGTAAATTTTACAATAAAATAACGCAGACGCCAGAGGGCGGTGGGTGTGGGGAGAACACCAGGGAGGTGGCCTGGAGGGCGAACAGGGATTTCACCGGCTGGGCCTCCTTGCCCTGCACTTCCCAGGTGTCCCCAGCAGAGGGCGCCTTGCGGCTAGCTCTGGGCTGGCCTGGCTGTGGCTCCTCCCCAGGTGGTCACCGGGCCTCAGCTTCCCCCCTACTCCAAACCGAGTGCTGTGCCCGGCCGGCACCATCACGCCAGCTGTCACACCTGAGACCACCAGAGGCCCGGACGCGGAATCCTGCCCAGGCTCTGAAGCTCCGGGGTGAGTCTGTGATGGCGTCCGCTCGTTCCACACACGTACGCGCCAGGCAGGTGCTAGAACTCCTGCGGGCTCTGCACCCAGGGGCTCCCCAGCCTCTGTCCCTGTCCTCAGGGCGCCCGCGCTGGCTCTCGGGGGGCGGGGCACTCACCGTACAGCTGCCAGGCGCGCACCCGGTCCGCGTAGGGGAGCCCGTAGTGCAGCGGGTCGCCCACCGGGCCCTGGTAGTAGGGCTGCATGATGGACTGCGTGGCCGCCACATGGCTCAGCCCGATGGCGTGGCCAAACTCGTGCACGGCCACTGCGAACAGGTCCATGCCGTGGGCATCTGGGGACACGAGAAAGAGTGAGCCACGGGGGACGGCGAGCCACGGGGGATGGCGAGCCATGGACGTGGCCGCAAGGATGGGGAGGCGCGTGCCTACGGGCCGGGTATTGGGGGTTGACTTTCTGGGCCCCAGGATGCAGGGACCGGCGTAGGACTCCTGCGCCCCACGGGCCAGGACCCTTGTTAGGCCTGTGTGTGGAGGAACCCACGTGGCCCTCCTCCCCACCCGCACCCACACCTCCTGGGAGATGAGACCAGGCGAGGACACAGAGCCCCGGGCCCGCACACCCAGCCCAGCCTGGCTGCCCGGTGGGGTCCCTGCCCGCGATGGGGGTGAGTCGCCCTGATCTGGAATTGCCCAGCTGTTCCCGTGCCCGGGGTCTGGACGCTTCACAGGGTCGATGTGGCTTCCTGCAACCTCTGGGGTCCATGGGGCCCCCGGGTGATGTGGGGTCCCCAGGGCTCAGCCCCACGCATGCACCTGAGGACCGGAAGGTCCAGGCCTCGTCGTCATCGAAGTGGGCGTCCCCCGCGGTGTGGTGGTCGCCGGGGAGGAAGGCGTGGGCCACGGTGCCGCCAGGGCCATCGAAGGGGTAGCGGTCGTTGTGGTCGGCCGTGGAGAAGTCGATCTGGATGTCGGCCGCGCTGCCCGCCACCTCGTGGAAGTTCAGGGGCGTGATGTCGCCCCAGACCTTGAGAGCGTAGTGCATGAGCGCACGCACCATGTCGCGGCCCAGGGGCGAGTCCCGTGGGAACGTGCGGACCCTGGGGCGGGCGGGGTCAGAGCCAGGGGTCAGAGCCAGGGGTCGGGTCAAGGGGACAGGCCGCGCCCCCAACAGGCTGCAGTGCGCTCCCAGGGACGCCCTGTCCCGGGGGTGGGTGTGGGATGCTATTTGGAAATGAGGTTTGATGGTAGGGAGTGGCTCCGTGGTTGAGCGTGGACCCACGAACCAGGAAGTACAGTGCGGCACAGGCCCGGGTTGTGGGCTCGATCCCCAGTGCGGGGCGTGCAGGAGGCAGCCGATCCATGATTCTCTCTCACCATGGATGTTTCTCTCTCTCTCTCTCTCTCTCTCTCTCTCCCTCCCTCCCTCTCCCATCCTTTCTGAAATCAACAAGAATATATTTTAAAAAATAAAGGTAGGGATTAAGATGGGACCATCCTGGACATCACCCGCTAAAGCCATGGA